ATATATTAATGTGTGCTGACAGCCAGGCCTAATATGACAGAGGGGGACTGTGTAGGTCTCTTCTGTCATATTACTTCCTATCTCTGTCGGTACTTTTTTTTTCATGGCATCTCAGTGCACAGGAGGATTATTGTGGAGACAAAGTATCTCCTTTGTGCATGCACAGAAGTCCCCTCATCTAGCCCTGGCCAATAAAGCGACCAAAGGCTTTAATCCTGGAAGAAGACCGCCAGGAAGATGGAAGCATTATCAAAAGCAAGGTGAGGGCTGACATCGCAGAGCTGGACGAGATCGATTTGGCAGGCAAGTCTGCCATAATGTGCTAATTTGCTGTGCATACTCTCATATTATGACTAAAAGCTCCTGGAGGCCTTGTGTGAACTACTAGTTCCATCAATCTGCCATGTAATGAAGATGAACAAAGGCAGACATGTTTGAAGTTAAGTCTGTGCAACAACCATGGCTCCATAGATACAGAGGAAAAATCTGTATAGCCACGAAGGGACAGGAAGTGTCATTTGTAGGATTACAAGATGAAAATTGGGAAGAAGACTAATGTAGCTACTACATCTAAGGGCTTGTAAGCTGCAATGTAATATTTTTGTTTGTTTTTGGATTTAGCTTTAAACCTCTCACTGCTAGAGCCATTGTTGCATTTTTTGCACAAATGTTAAAATGTACATTTTCTGCCTGAAATTTGCTTCCCTCAAATGTATTTTCTGAAATCGGAGACCCTGGATAATAATATGGTGTGATGTGCAATTTTTTTTATGTCACACAATGTGAATATTAAACCCAAATTTTCTGTAAAAAAAATGCATTCAAATTAATTTTAGTAAACACAATATAATACCAATTTTTGCAAAATATAGAGATGGATCCTCCAACCCCTGCATCACTGCTGTGCCCTGAGGACAATTGGGGAATTGAGGATGGAACCACGGTGTGTGACGGCAACATAGGCATCTGCCTAGGGCTGCAATTAATGGTTATGTTCATAATCGATTAGTTGGCCGAATTATTATTTTTCGATTATTCGGATTAAAAAAATTAAATGTCATCCTTAAATTAAAATAAAATACACAAACCTACAGTTTACTTCAGAATAAAACTGCATGAACAATTTGTTGCAATTGCACTTTACTGGAACGCACGGCATCGGGGTACAGTGTGTTTCAGTGCGGCGATCCCTCTGTGGGTGGGAGGTGGGCTAAGGGTGCCATTGAAATGAATGGCACTTCAACGCTCCTCCCGCAGCAGAATTTGTCAGGCCGAAACCAAAAATTACTTTTTTTTTTTTCCCCCCACCTTTTTTATATAT